TGTCAGCTTTTTCTTTCCTCTTCATCCTCCTCACACTCTCAAGCGTTTTCACGCAAACCCATCAGCAACAAAATCAGCCCATCAAAACCATAGTGGTTTTAGTCTTGGAAAACAGATCATTCGACCACATGCTCGGGTGGATGAAAAAATCCATAAACCCTTCCATCAACGGCGTCACCGGCAGAGAATGCAACTCCGTCTCGAACAAGACAATATGCTTCACGGACGACGCCGTCTACGTAGATCCAGACCCGGGCCACTCGTTCGAGGACGTCGAAAAGCAGGTTTTCGGGTCGGGCCCGATCCCCACCATGTCGGGTTTCGCCGAGCAGGCCCTGTCAATGTCGGAGAATCTCTCCGAAACCGTCATGAAAGGGTTCCGGCCCGAAAACGTCCCGATTTACGCTGCCCTAGTGAACGAATTCGTGGTATTCGATGAATGGTTTAGCTCAATACCCGGGCCCACACAGCCCAATCGTCTGTTCGTCTACTCCGCAACCTCCCATGGCTCCACGAGCCACGTCAAGAAACAGCTGGCGAAAGGGTACCCGCAGAAGACCATATTCGATTCGATTCACGAAAACAACGGCCTCGATTTCGGTATCTATTTCCAGAACATCCCCACCACATTCTTCTACAGGAATCTGAGGAAACTCAAGTACATATTCAAATTCCACCAATACGATTTGAAGTTCAAGAGGGATGCTAAAAACGGAAAGTTGCCTAATTTGACTGTAATCGAGCCCAGGTACTTCGATCTCAAGGGCCTGCCCGCGAATGACGACCACCCATCTCATGATGTGGCGAATGGGCAGAAATTGGTTAAGGAAGTTTACGAGGCGCTAAGGGCCGGCCCACAGTGGAACGAGACGCTTTTCATTATAACGTATGATGAGCATGGTGGGTTTTATGATCATGTGCCCACGCCTTACGATTTGGTTCCGAACCCGGATGGGAATACGGGTCCTGCCCCGTTTTTCTTTAAGTTCGACAGGTTAGGTGTTCGTGTGCCGACGATTATGGTGTCTCCATGGATCAAGAAAGGGACTGGTAATTTTTTTTTTTTTTTTTTTTTTTTTTTTTTTTTTTTNTGTGCTAATATTGTTGGAAGCATGATATATGGATGGCATGTTTTGAGCTTTGGATTGATTGTCTTGATTGTCTTTGGCTGTTTATAGTGATGACTGATAATTTTGGAACTAGTATTCTTAATGTTTAGTGTTTGGTGTAAAAATGCTTTGTTTGTTTCCTCGAAATTACTAACATTGGTTTGAATCTGACATTGTTTCCTTTACTAACTTTTAGATGGGTGTTTGCTAACTCCTTAAGGAGTATTTTGTTATGTTTGTAATCAATCAATGGTGTATATTTGACTCTTTACTTTGCAATATGTATCCTTGATTCGACTTTTACTATGAATCGGCATACTATATTCTTTGCATTTGGTACCTTTGCAACTTGGGATTTTTTTCGTAATGAAGAACTTATTGATATCAACATCTTCATGGTTGATTTTCAACTTAATGTATTTTTCCAAGTTGGCATTACTCATGGACTTCCTTGTAGTGGTAAGCAAGCCTAAAGGCCCAACCCCGAATTCGGAGTTTGAGCACTCATCAATACCTGCAACAATAAAGAAGATATTCAATCTGTCATCCCACTTCTTGACACATAGAGATGCTTGGGCCGGCACTTTCGAGCAAGTCGTGGGTGAATTAACTTCTCCAAGAACTGATTGCCCGGGTAAATCAATCATCCTTACAAACCTTAATTGCTACTTGGTAATAAATCTCATGAGAAATGACATTATCGTTCTTTTATTCCCATGACTTCTTGAAAATATATATATACTATTGATTATTTCCTCTAAGATATCATACATTATGCACATGATCGACTGTTGTTTTGAGCAGAGGTTTTACCTGATGTGATCCCTCTAAAGAAGACTGAGACAGACGAGAAGAGGGGTTTATCCGAGTTTCAAGGTGAGCTGGTACAGCTGGCGGCTGTCTTAAATGGGGACCACTTTCTGAGCAGGTTCATGGACGAGATTGGTAAGAAGATGAATGTAAAGGAAGGTCATGAGTACGTGAAAGGTGCCGTGTCAAGATTCATACAAGCAAGCAAAGAGGCTATCAAATTGGGTGCGGATGAGTCCGCCATTGTTGACATGAGGTCGTCTCTGACTACGAGATCCTCGATTATTAACGACTGAACTACTTTTTT